ACGTATGCAGGGTGTGGTTGCAGTATAGATGAAGAGGTCAACAGAAGTCACTTCAGAGGTAGGTCTGTGATATCATCTTCTGGGCCGCTTCTCTGACACAGTGATGTCATCTCATCGGGTGATGCATTTTATAATATATAGAATATTGTACTTTTCAGAATTGTAAAAACTAAATTATTGGATTGATTGCCATGTGAATAAAACATCTCGATAGCAGGGTGCATTGTTTCATGCATCCTTCTCAGTGGATCTCAGAAGTAATTCTCTGACAGACCTCTCTGCGGTGTACTTTCTGTGAGAGTTATATACAGCAGACACATTGATTCATTTGCCAAACAGGAACTAAATCATTCTCTACCTCCCCACTGGTTCGATGAATCGTCACTCCACTGGGTACCGAGTAGTGAATGTACCCTCTGCCAGCTACACAGCCAACTGCACGGGCCACGCAAACCCGAATCGTTTTATTGTAACGCTTCTATTTTATTGTCACGCTTCTATTTTATTGCCACGCTTCTATTGTATTGTCACGCTTCTATTGTATTGTCACGCTTCTATTGTATTGTCACGCTTCTATTTTATTGTCACGCTTCTATTGTATTGTCACGCTTCTATTGTATTGTCACGCTTCTATTGTATTGTCACGCTTCTATTGTATTGTCACGCTTCTATTTTATTGTCACGCTTCTATTGTATTGTTACGCTTCTATTGTATTGTCACGCTTCTATTGTATTGTCACGCTTCAATTGTATTGTTACGCTTCTATTGTTCAGTGGCGTAGCCCGGTTGTCCTGGGCCCCTGTGCAAGGCATCTAACCACCTTTCTCAATTTACCCCAAATCTTCGACGCCCCTTAGGTGCCGGGGCAGTTGCACCGCCTGCACACTCCATACGTGCGCCACCGCTACCGTTTTGTGCGGAGGTTGGAGTCAAACCGTCGGACCTTGGCTTTCTGTTACCCCACGGCCACAACGAGCCCACACACACATACATCCACCTGTGGAAATCCAGCGAGTGAAACTTCAAGCGCGGCCACCGGCTGCGCACAGAGAAGCCGAGCAAACACTCATTTTGCAACTCCGTAAAAAAAGTTCAAAGCGGGGCTGTGTTTGCCAATGCTTGTGTTTTGCAAGGTATGTGGAAATTCCCTCTGGCCGTACCGACTGTGTGCAGCTTAAGGGCACGCGCGTGAGCTCGCCGCGCGAACAGAGGAGAGGAATGATCGGTGCGAGCAAGCGGCTGGGTGGGTGCATGCGGGGGCACGGCGATTGAAAGTGGCCCAGTGGTGTAGTGGTGGTAGTGGGCTTGGCATGGGCCCTGGTGCACAGGGAATCAAAATGGGGCCCCCTGTCCACTAGCCCGGCACCTGAGACCCTTCTAGCCTGTGGGCCCTCATTCAGTAGCTGAACGTTTAACTTCTTTCGCACCGCACATAACCAACGGTGCTCATCGGAGATTCTAGCTGTGCTCCTGAAGTGGCTGATTGGCTGTTCATTCCTCTATGAGTCCGCATAAAACCACGACCTTTGTCTTTATCCGTGTGCTATTGTGAATTTACTTTATGGCATCATCCAGTAAAATCAGGAGCGGTGGTGGGTAGTGGTTAGCACACTACTACGCTATGAATCTGGGCCGTGGATAAAATTCGTGACAAGGGTTATCTGAACCAGCCCGGCCACTACCCCTTCATCAACTCTCACTGACCGATATGGCGTTCATCCAGCAGTGGACTGCCAAAGTGCTCTACATATTTTTTGCAGTAATACAACGCATGGCGCCTCACTGGGAACACTGGATAATACGGCACAACATCACATTACCCCATGCGCTGGAGACTAAAGTACAGCCCGATATGTAGAAAGGCCAGGCATGTGAACATCAGGAGAAAATGGCAGTTTCACCGCAGTGCACGAATACTGCATTGGGTGTGGGTGGTTAAATGCTCCTGGTGGGTGTGTGAAGGTCAGATATGTAAAATACCGCATTACAATAAGATACTCTAGAATAGTATAACAGTGCATAGATAATCATGCTATCCCATGCAGGCTTTGTTGAGTGTCAGAACGATTTTTAAATAAAGTTTGATATGTGTTTAGAAAGTCTAATATGCGGTGGAAATTACCATCCCCAGAGAAAAAGGCATGCATGCAATGAGATGACGTTCTTGCATCAGAGAGATACGTACTGTACCATCAACTACAGGTGTCTCAATAGTCATAGACAGCATGGGGATTCCATCTCTGTGTGATCCATCAACCCTGCCTTCACACCACTATTGGCATGGAGCAGGACTCGCACTCGTGTGGGGTTTAGTGAGAGGATGGGAAATATTCGACCGAGGTGTGAAACAGCATATTTCCCTGATTCCGATGCCAGGAACGTTCACAGCAATGTCTCAATTGTTTAATACAATTTCCACTTGAATGCTAAGGGGTTTTATGAAGTACCATAGATCATCGTCGTACGCTCTTGCCACACTTTCCAATGTCTCGTGAAAAAGTTGTCACCAACTGTGCTCTGATTTGCAGTGGACAGATGCCCCCAAGTGGAAGTCACCGCTTATGCATGCACACAGGCAGAGAAACATGGATTTTCACGGTTGGGATTAATTTTTCTGGTTGTACGGGGCCGTACATAAATGACGTCACGCACCTGGGGGGGGAGGGGGGGGGTAGAGAAATTTGTGACGATGTGTGACGGGGGGGGGGGGTGAGAAATGTGACGTCACATCAAAATGCGCAACTTTAAATCAATATGGACAACACGTTCTAATTAAATATACTTTTTAATGTTTTCTCCTACAACATCAGAGTGCAGCGCCACATTAGTTACACACTACAGTGACAATATCTTCTTTGGTTCTTTCGGTAAAGTCACGTAGAATGAGAATAAAATAATAAATTGATAAAATAAAATAACACAATAATATTCTCACGACGTTTCGGCCACAACACAAGCGGCCTTCATCAGATGAAGGGGAGGACTGTCTGGAGGACAGCGCTGGAGTGACTTTACCGAAAGAACCAAAGAAGATGAATCCTTGCAGTCACGAAAGCTTTAAATCGAAAAATACAATGACAATAGTTTAAAGCGATTTGAAGCATTTTGGGGGGGGGAGAGCTTTGTGACGTCATATTTCAGGGGGGGGGGTCTGACTTTTTGTGACGCCGTGTGACGAACCAAAGCGTTTGGATTCCTGCAGTCACGAAAGCCTCAAATGAAGATAGTGTCATAGATGTCAACCCATACGGTTTAGCAGTATTACTCTTGTGCAGGGAAATCGAGTTCTCAGTGCCATGCGGCGTACAGACGTTTCGATACCAGCAACAACTATTTGTCAATGTGTTTGTGTGTGTTCTCCCTTGTGATGATGGGGCTTCGTAGGATGTGCGTTGAGATGTATCAGGGCACGGGGTGACCAATACGGTCTGGATTGGTCTGTAGTAAGCTAGGCAGCACTGATACGGGTGTGGTAGGCTATGCAGTCTGCACTGCACCTTACTGAATCTACACTGAAACACAACGCTCTGTTGCACACTGCACCGCACAACATTGAAACAACTACAACATAGCGTACTAATCTGCACTGCACTCCACTGCACAGTGCAGTGCCCTGGCCCGCATCTGCGCTGCGTTATAATGCCAGGATCTGCACTGGAACACACAGATCCCACACTGCACCGATCCTACACTGCACAGACCTACACTGCACCGACCCATACTGCACCGATCCCACACCGCGCCGATCCCACACCGCACCGATCCCACACCGCACCGATCCCACACTGCACCGATTCAAGAGCCGAATGGCCCACAGGGCTATACCAAATAAATGGAACCATGAACTATGAACACTGCACCGATCCCACACTGCACCGATCCCACACTGCACCGATCCCACACTGCACCGATCCCACACTGCACCGATCCCACACCGCACCGATCCCACACTGCACCGATTCAAGAGCCGAATGGCCCACAGGGCTATACCAAATAAATGGAACCATGAACTATGAACACTGCACCGATCCCACACTGCACCGATCCCACACTGCACCGATCCCACACTGCACCGATCCCACACTGCACCGATCCCACACTGCACCGATCCCACACCGCACCGATCCCACACCGCACCGATCCCACACCGCACCGATCCCACACCGCACCGATCCCACACCGCACCGATCCCACACCGCACCGATCCCACACCGCACCGATCCCACACCGCACCGATCCCACACCGTACCGATCCCACACCGCACCGATCCCACACCGCACCGATCCCACACCGCACCGATCCCACACCGCACCGATCCCACACCGCACCGATTCAAGAGCCGAATGGCCCACAGGGCTATACCAAATAAATGGAACCATGAACTATGAACACCGCACCGATCCCACACTGCACCGATCCCACACTGCACCGATCCCACACTGCACCGATCCCACACTGCACCGATCCCACACTGCACCGATCCCACACCGCACCGATCCCACACCGCACTGATCCCACACCGCACCGATTCAAGAGCCGAATGGCCCACAGGGCTATACCAAATAAATGGAACCATGAACTATGAACACCGCACCGATCCCACACTGCACCGATCCCACACTGCACCGATCCCACACCGCACCGATCCCACACCGCACCGATCCCACACCGCACCGATTCAAGAGCCGAATGGCCCACAGGGCTATACCAAATAAATGGAACCATGAACTATGAACACTGCACCGTTCTACACTGCACCGACCTCACACTGCACCGACTCACACTAAACCGTTCTACACTGCACAGACTCACACTGCACCGACCCACACTGCACCGACTCACACTGCACAGACCCATAATTCACCGACTCACACTGCACAGACTCACACTGCACCGACCCACATTGCACCGACCTCACACTGCACCGACTCACACTGCACCGACTCACACTAAACCGTTCTACACTGCACCGACTCACACTGCACCGACTCACACTGCACCGACCCATAATTCACCGACCCACACTGCACCGTTCTACACCGCGTGGTTTCTCAACGCGCCCCTCTGCACCGGTGCTGACCACGCACTGCTCACGTGCTCCTCCCTCCACTCTTCCGCCTTCACCGCCCCAGCCATGGACGCCGCTCAGGTGTGCTGCTGCTGCTGCTGCTGTTGTTGTTGGGGTTGTCGCTGCGTTGCTGGGAACTCTCCCTTTCGCCCCGCGGTCCCCCCTCAGCCGTGCTCGATCCACTGCTGGATAAGGAGGCGACGCGATCCCAACCCTCTCGGCAGCAAAGGCCGTGGTCGATCCACTGCTGCACGAAGGCCATCAGAAGGCGTCGTCGCCATCTCGCGATAACCGCGATACTTGACCCAACTTATAAGTTTACTTCTTGCCGGTCGCCTCGCGTTTGCAATAACAACAACATCTGTTGTCGATGTGCGTGCGTTGCGTCTGTTCCCCCCCCCGCCCCGTTGCACAGTCTGCCAGCTCGTTCTTCGGCGTCGTCCGGGAGCCTCTGGGCTTCATCAAGCTGCTGGAGTGGGTGAGTGTCCTCCGGCAGGGCGACTAGGCCACGCCGAGGCTTCCCCACCCGCCCCGCCGGTAGTCGAGGGCAGTGCGCTGTGCTCACCACAGCACAAGGCAGAATATACACTCGCAGACAACACGCTCGCATTTACATTGTTTACACTTCTGAGACTTTTATGGTGACGTTATCACTAAAGGTGAAACATAGGGGTCTCCCGGCTTCTTGTTTTAGTCCTGGTCAGATGTTTTTTTTTTCAACAACAGAGGGCAACGTTTGTTAAGAATGTAATTTCCTGTGATGTGTTTTTTGGAGCGCAACACGATTGAGTGTGATCAGTCTTACACAGATGAAGTGACGGGGCAGAGCAGATAACATGGAGTGCGTTGGGAAAACTGAACTTGATCATGAACAGCAACACACGCATGTCCTCAATAGAGCTTTTAGTCAGTATATTTACCCGCGATGACATGGACAGTGACCATACAATTCAGCGAAAGTTTAGAAGTGTGCAAAAAAGCATGCAGAGGTTCATGCTTGGAATGAGGATGAGGAACGCATGGTTCATAAATCAAAGATAGGTTAAAGGCATAATTAAGACTGAAAGTGGCCTTAGAACACATCTCTAAAAGTAATGCTGGCCAATGATCAAGAATCGAGTGATGGAGTCCCAACTAAGCAATGGAATGTGTCTGAGACTGTCCACCATGCAGGTGCTAGGTGAGGCGTCTACATCGCACAATGATGGGAGATGGTGGTGGTGGTTTGGGGAGGCCTGCATCCAGCAGTGGATTGATAATAAAAGCCATTAATGGTTTTATATATATACAAAGTGTTGGTGTATGTCTAGAGTGAGATCGGGGGGGTGATGCTGATAATGTTTTGTGAAGAGTATAAGAATTTTTATTTAGACTCGAGGAATCAGATGAGCTCTCAAGCGTTTTTTTAACAGGTGTCCAGTCTTGATTTAAAGCTTTCGTGACTGCAGTAATTCACATTCTTAGCTCTTTCGGTAAAGTCACGTTGAAGGTTCAACAATAAAATAATAAAATATATATAAAACATTATATTTTTATTGTGTCCCTTCAACGTGACTTTACCGAAAGAGCTAATAATAAGCTGTCCAGTCGTGTAGTGTATGTGTTCATGCAGTGAGCGCTTGTAGTTCCGCTCATAGGCAAAGGCCACCCAAAGACACCGCGATCCAACCGGGAGTCCGTGGACGTAAGAGTCCACCGAGGACCTGCACACAATCCGATGTCATGGCAGAGCCTTCGCAGTCTCCTCGGTGAACCGTCCTATTTTCACTTGTTTAGTTAATATTTTAACTTTATTTTTTTTATTAACAGATGAGATCTCAAGTCACCAGGGTAGTGTAAATTGCAACAGTGAAACAGGAAAATGTTGAGGAAATGTGTTTACATATTTTGTTTGCTTTGCTCATTTATACCGAGCTGCAAGTGTCAAGCCTTTATTAAGTTATTCTGTAATTTCCTACATTTAATTACCATTTCTGGCATAAAGAGCCCCATGTGGCAGTGACTACAGTGCTGATGAGTCCTCACGAGGACAGTTGTCCATCATTGCATTACTGCTGATGTTGACCGAACACAACAGGACCACTACGCACTTCTTGCAAATGCACCAAAGCTGTGTATGTTTTACAGCTTTTTGCAACGTTTTGTTAAAACGTATAGTTTTTCAGCCTGCATTTGTATGCTGTTAGGGTGGGTTTCACATCCGTAATAAAGGTTTGATCACATGCACAGCATCTATACAACCCAAATAGGTTAATGATAATTGTGGTTGCCTTGGCACAAAATCGCAGTGTGAACCAAGATGTATGTACCCACCATAGTCTGGCCCGGCATCTTATCTTGAGGTTAATACATTAACATTTTAATGAATACATTTATATTTGGGGGTCTTGCATGGCCTAATTCCCCAAAAAGGATAACAACTTTCCACCAATTCAAATGTGCATGAGTACATCCGCTGCTCGTATTTTAAGGTCAACCACTGTGTACACATTTACATTGTAGTGTACACAAATTAGATATTGCACAACTACTTCTGAAGTCATTGGAACCGACCTTTTATCCGCACCAGCAGCAGGGACCCAATGTGATGTCAAAGCACTCAGCCAACACTGCTGCAGGAGCAGATCGGAGTTTCAAACAGTCAATTAAACCGGTTTTACAGGCGTATCCAATTGTTGGTTTTAGCCCCGTCACCAACGACTGCATTCAAATTGTTGGTTTTAGCCCCGTCACCAACGACTGCATTCATAAATGCCCAGTACATAAAGAAAATGCCAGTTGTGTCAGAATGTGTACCGTCTAGTATACATGAGTCATTTAAATGGACTCAAACTTTGTTTTATGATGTCATCTTCCAGAGGCTGTTTTCTAGCAGGTGATGATGTCACACTTGTTTCTGCTAGCTCCAGGTTGATATTTCTAACACCCCATGGCATGAGGCCAGCAGCACAATCGGGGAAAGAGAAAAAATGTGGTTCGTTACCAAGACAGGGGTCTTTACAAACATTGCAAATATATTCCTATTCTCAGAGTCTATTCAAAGTATTGTTTATACGTGACACATCTTCCCGGTTTGTGTGTTTTGTATGAAGACAGTAAAGTTGTTTGTGTGTGATGTAATCTCACTTCACAAAAACCTTTTAAGAATACTTTTGTCACGTTTTCCAGCATAACGTTAGATTAGTAAAAGCGAATGCTAAGGTATTTACTGACACTTTGTTTCAATATCACATTGTCATCTGTGTGTGTAAACTCTGCATCTGTCCCTGTTTTATGCAGTTTTATTTCCCGAATGTGTTGTGGCTTTCTGCACATTGCAAGAAAAATATACACTGCTTATATAGAATTGAATCTGTATGTTTATAAAGACGTATATCAGTCGGACACAAATGTTTACTTAAACGTCTGGAGATCTCCAGCCTCAAACTTTCACATTATTCAGTTCTCAAACATCTTTAAACACATTACTACACAGCCCTTTACAGCAATCATCAAGGTTTGGTGTTTTGTATACAGTACATGCATGTGTAATATACTGCGCACAAAGAGCAGTTTCAATGAACTTGTACACGTGCAGCCCTTTTGTTAGCTGGATGAGGGCCTCCCAAAGTCTTCTTGCTCACCACGCTGATCGGTGAATTTGGGAGGACCCAGAACCTGTTCTGGTATCACTCGACACTGAGGTTAGCTGTGGCCAGAATTCAAAGGCACATCGGCCCGGTTCAAAGAGCAGTTTGCTTTACCTTTGCACCACCGTTCCGCCCCAGTTGGAATGTACCATAATTGAAACCAATTTAGGAATCGCCTTGTGCACAGTACCAGAAACAAGTTTGGCAGAGCAGCAAATCACATGAGCCATCGCACCCTTGGTTGTTTTTCGGCTGATGCTGGTTCTCACTGGGTGCCTAGCACAATGTTTAAAATGTTTGCCATGGAGGTGTCTGAAGGAACTGCGTCTTGTTTTAAATTCCACATTGTGCCCTTGAAAGGGCGGAGATGAGAATGCACGAGTGTATGTTGGGAATGTCTCAGGGAAAAGGAGGCAGAATTAAGCTAGCGGGATTATTAATATTCTCGAGAAAGTAAAGGAGGCAGGACTGAGATGGTTTGGGCAAGTTTTGAAAGAGACAATCAAAATGCAATTGGAAGAGCTATGCAGGACACCAGTGAAGTGCAGATGAAGTAGAGAGAGACCGAGGGTGAGATGGACAGATGCGGGACAATTGATGTGACGAGAGAGGGGAGGCACCGAGCATTTATATGGAGAAAGAAAATCTGAGCAGCCAACCCCATGCAATAATGGGATTTCTAGCTCTGGAGAAGAGATTGTGGCATCATCGTTGTGTGCAGGTCGTTCTACATATCCCTGTTTTTGTATTGGCATGCCATGATATTGAACAAGTCCTTGCATGTATGCGGTAATTTTTGAAAACTATTTTACGTCCTATAAATAGTGAGTGCGGACAAGCGTGTTGAATTGCCCAGTAAAACTACTGCAGGCTTGTGATGATGCACCCGTTGAGGTGTCTGCAGTGACGGACTTTCTGAAGTAGGACACTTTACTTGTGTAGTCTGTTGTGTGTCAGTGACACATCGGGCAATACATTGCCTCCACTTTTCACACTCGTGGCCGTGTGCAATCATTCGGAGCTTTTCCCACATGAACGACAGATGCCACGTCCTGCTTACACTGTTTAGTTCCAGTTAATCGGCGATCGGATAGCGTTGTGTTTATAACTAGCTAGCGGGAAGTACCCGGCGTTGCCCGGGGGAAAAATATATTTTAAAACGTCTCAAAACTTAAAAACATAACATATACAAATGAAAAGAAAACTTTGATCATTACCTCATTAATAAAATTTGCAATAAAACCCAACGCGCGGTGGAAACAAAAACTTACGCTCGCGCGCCAAGATTCAATTCTTTAAATCGCGCAAAGGAATCTAAGGTTGTAGATTTCTTTAGAATCGGCCTATTCCTGTTTAATCGATAGCACAAACGCTCCCCAGGTATCGATTCTCGCCAGTCCTGTATGCGGGTTGACACCACACACTTCATGGTCATTCCCCCCCCCCCAAAATACAAAAGTCTGTTTGCATTGTGTACATTCTAGAAGCTACCCACATGCCACATTTCAAGTTTGTTGCATGTTGGGAAGTATGCTAAACATTTCGAACAGACACACATTCACAAATGTCCTTTTTATAGATATCCATTATTGCGCCTCCCCCAAAATATAAAAGTCTATTTTTATTACAGTCTGGACACTACCCACATGCCAAATTTCAAGTTTGTTGCATGTCGGGAAGTAAGCTAAAAATTTCGAACAGACACACACATTCACAAATTTCCCTTTTATACATATAGATTAAACACCTCACAAATCATAGCAGGAGGCAGTATTGTGAAATACTACTTTGCAAGAAAAAGTGGTGAGCATCACTTTTAGTCACTTAAACTAGTAAGGTTTGCACCCTGTAGTGGATGTATGTGGCTTGTATTGGGTGACCGACCAACTGTGTGGTGAATACCCGTAATATTAAAAGTATTATTTTCTGCACACTTATTATGTGTGTGTCATTGGTTTTGTTCCTGCCTTAGAACATTGAGGGTGGCTTTGGGAAGGACGCACCGCTCGCAGTAATGATAATGGATGGTCGAGACTGGTGATGCAATGGCAGCCAAAGGAAGGAACACGCCTAAGAGGATGACCACCATGGGGTCTGAGCGATGAGATTAGCTCATGTGCAAGAGCAAAAAGTATTGTGGCATTGTGGGTTCATGAGGGATGGCGATGACGTGTTCATACAAGGTTGCGGTGATTGAAACTTCACCATCACCATCCATGATCTATCCGCTGACAAACGAAGGCCTCCCCAAGCTTTTGCCATCTCTCACTGTCTTGTGGGTGCAGCAATCCTTTTTCATATTCGACAAAAGCGTGTAATTGTATTTTATATTCATGAGTCTTTTTTCAGAATCTGATTGATGTTACGTATGTGGTTGATGGTCTAAGAAACATTTGCTGTACCTGGCCTATTGTATATGGGTGGCCTCTATAAATATTTAATGATTCATTTCCCAATGATCTTCGTTCACAACTTCTATAAATGTGAAACTTGATGTGTGTTGTATGAACATGTATCATGGGTTGGTTGCATGAAACAAAAGTATGATTTGCACTGTGATTTGGTAAAGTATTTAGGGTTGTGTTGTAACCTGATCTTGTTGCTTTCCCTGTTAGATTTTTTCTATCTTTGCCTTTGCAACCTGTGGTGGATATTCCGGCTATTTTGAAATCTTGGTGAACTGCAAGAATAACTCGACCAACCAGACAAGGATTGATTTCAGCTATCCATTTAGGTAAGAAATTAACTTAAATTTAAAGATATGAATACAATCAATGCACATATATGTAGTATTCATGTATTATTACATACATTTTACCCTGTATATTGTGTACAAAGTTATTCTGAAACTTATTCTTACTTTGTATGAATATTAAGTGCATTAAGCCTATATATGTTATGTAGGCTCACAATAGTTGAAACTGTTGTATTCATAACTATCAACCCGTCCATACTTTGAATGTGAACATCCGTTCGTCTATCCCAGCCGGCCAGCCAGCAACACTTTTATTATTCTATTGAGCCCTGTCACTCCACCCACCTTTCTCTTGCCATCTCTGTGATATCGCGCTTGTACACTTGGAAGCGTGGCGCCCAGCCAGGCAGGAATCCACCCAGGTCATCAAGCCGGGAAAACTTTTTTGGACTATAGTTTGATACAAATGTGCAGTTTAAGTTATTAAAGAATAATATATTAGAGAGCTCTTCGATGTATTTAAAACAGCAGAGCAATTCCCTTAATTCCATTTCCATCCCTACCCATGCTCCCCTTTGCCCCTCTAATTTTCACACGGCAACTGCACATTAGAGCTGAGAATGATTACACTTTCAGCTACTCCACTGCTTTTTAAATAATTTCTCATTTTGGGAATTGATCGGGTGGCTCAATGGTCAGAGCACCGGGCCGGCACAGCTGAGCTCATTAGGTGAGGATCTAGGCAGTCGCCTGTGTGATTCAACCGGGTGTCTCAAGTGGAGAGAGTTAATGGCCTGTAATCCGGCAGTGTGGAAAGCGAGAGTGGATCACACACATGTTGTGAAACTCCCTTCCTGTGGATGTCATGGTGCCATACCCAAGCTTGCCAGCAGATGGTACAACAAAATGTGGACTTCACCTGTTCCATTTGTAGCGGTCGTGTTGCCCTCTCGCACGTGTGGGTTTTGTATGTTGGTATGTTGAACTTCTTTCAATCAGTATGAAGCTAACCGTGTTAATGGGAGGCGCGGGAGAATGACAGCAAACTAATACATGGTAGGTATTACCTCCGATTGGCATGGTTGGCTATCTATGCTGCGAAAGAGTTCAACATGCATACATGTAGTACGTGTTGTGTGTTTTGACGTGTGTTTTGCACGTGTTTGCATGCGCCACGCCCCCGGCAGGTTAAACCAAGTGACATTCCTGGTGCCCAACTGTACGGCGAACCCCAAGGACGTTGGCAACCTTTATGGCGACTTCTCCTCGTCGGCCGAATTCTTTGTGACCATCGCCGTGTTTGCCTTCCTCTACTCATTGTTTGCCCTGGTCGTGTACACTTTCTACCAGCCCAAGTACCAGCAGTACCGCGGACCCCTCATAGTACGCACGGCCATTCATCGGCGGCAACTTCACACACATGCACGCGTTACGGTGTTTTGTTTTAAAAACCACAGCTTGATCTTTGGCGTGTAAAAGAAGGAACTGCAACCGCGTACGACAAAATTCCATTTAAAACGTGTACCGGACGTGTTACGAATGTTATTTATGGAAATGCGTGATGAATTTAGACGAGATACGGATGCAAGGGGAGTTGGCTCTTTAGCCTATAAGTTACAGTGTTGAAGTCAGGATTAAGAAACTGAAGGGCGAGGGACGTTGTTAGAAAATATGCTCGTACGTGGTACGGACTTTTTGAGAATCCGCTGCTGGATGAGGGTCTCCCCCACACCGTGGCGGTTATTTGACCGTATTTTACCACGCGTGTCAGTGCAAGTTGGTGAAGGCAGTGGGAGCCCAGGACCAGTTCACAAATCACGAGCACACCGTGACTGGGAATCAAACGCAGGTCGCTGGGTTGATAGCCCAGTGCACAAACCACGGCACCACCGTTCCACCATACATACAGATTAGCCGCGTAGTACACAGATAGTGAACAATAATGGGGGGGAAAAAAAAATCTGTCGGGGATTTTAAAGACGGAGATGTTAGCAGACTGCACGAGCCAGCGGGTTTTTTTTTTCTTCCGCTCTGCCAACAGGACTTCGTCATAACTGCACTCTTTGCCTTCATGTGGCTCGTGAGCTCCTCCGCCTGGGCCAAGGGCCTCGCCGACGTCAAGATCTCCACGATGCCCGACACTGTCTACAAGCTCATCTCCATCTGTCAGGAGCAGAAGATTTGCACGAGCGGAGCCACCGCCATCATGTCGAGCCTCAACGTGTCCGTGGTGCGTGCATTTCTCTCGTTGGCTCCGGCTGTCCGTCCGTCTGTAACATGGGGTCACGATAACTCGTAAAGGTGATACAATGTAAATAGAAAATGTGTTTAAAGTTGTGTTGCCATTAGGGATTGGCCCAATAGAAAACTTAGCCACGTTGATTAAAGGGTTACTAAGAACTTGGGAAAAGAGATGATGGGAGTGAATTCCAAAGTCTAGAAGTGCAAAGGAAGAAGTGGAAAGAGAAAAGATGTGCAGTGTGGTGGTGGAACATGCTGTGGATGAGATGGAGTCTGGTCGACGGAGTCATCTGTCATCTGCATTGGTGTAGGAATCTACGACTGAAATTCACAGCAATCATAGTCGTAGCGATAGAACAATGACAAGGAGGGACGACTACAAGATAAGGCCATTTTGTACACTTACATTCACCGTTTTTTACGTAAAAAATTATCGTTGCATTGGTGTATATAGTCGGCAGATGTTTAATGTTGTATGTATAAATGCAAACTATCATTAAGGAGTAGTAAATCCTTTCCAGGGGTTGCATTGGTTACCTGAAGAGAAGAAATTAAATGTTCCACACTTCCACAATAAAATTTTTGTATTCAGTATATATTAACCATCCTATGAAGTGGATCAGAAACACCGACACTGGCAAAGAAAATAAAACAAAAGCTAAACGTTGCAGAAATAAGCATGGGGGACGCACATTCCTAAAATGACATTGAGTGACAGAATGAGGAACATAGATTAGAGAAGATATGCAAGTTCAAGACATCATACATTATTTTATTGTTTCCCTTCTACGTGACTTTACCGAAAGAACCAAGAATATGAATCCCTGCAGTCACGAAAGCTTTAAATCAAAATCATATTGACTGTTAACAAAAAGTTAGTAGGCTTTGGCAGGACACATCAACAGTGGCAGGCAAAACAGGGAAACGCGCAGGGCGCATGGGGAAGTATTGCACACCTTTTGTGGATGAGAGGTCACTTACAAAAATCTCAAGTAGTTCTGTGATATATTTTTTATGTGGGTCAGTCCTGACATTATTTATTCTCCTGGCAAAGCCGATAACAAATATGAAGTGAAAAGTTGGTATCTGTACAAAAACTTTTACTTCCCACCTTTATCTGTAAATGCATTTAATTTTCAGTGCGTAAGACTCGTCACTTTATCCAGCCATGAGCCTTGACATCCAAGCGCTTTGATGGGAGGTGCAAGGCTGCATCAAGGACACCAGGCAGGAGAATTGTTGGATGTGCGCGAGGGCCGTCGGCACCACATTGCAGCGACATCTGAAATGCCTCGCCATGAACACCGCTCTGACAAAATGCGTGAACACGAGTCGATGGGAAGTTTTACTGACGTATATAACAATGCTCTAATGGGTGTCTTCGCGTGTGTGTGTGTGTACGCGCACACGTTTGTGTTTGCATGTGGTAGGTGTTCGGTTTTTTGAACCTCATCCTGTGGTCGGGAAACGTGTGGTTCGCCTACAAGGAAACGGCTTGGCATGGCAACCCGGAGCCAAGCTCGACCGTCACCAACCCGCCGAAGGGCCCTGCCACAGGCCCTGCCACCTATGGGCAGTGAGCATGGCAAGTCAAGAACCAGGAAACCAACCCGCCTGTCCTAGTGAAGGGTTCATGGAGTGTGACGTGCATAGGTTTGCGAGAATTCCTTTAGGTTTTTCTATCACTATTGTCCCGTTTAAAAGAGAAAGTTTGAGACGTTGCATTAATTTTGTTTTCCACTACGGTAATTTTGGAATGTGGGTTTCTTTTACACACCTCAATCTCTGGTATCTCGATGGTTGACATTCAATCCTAGCATTCCTAGTTTAAAACAAAAAGTCACAATCCAGAACTCCACATTGATTTGATCAGCAAAGTACATTTATCACGAACTGCCCAATGATAACGGTGCCATTGTTAGGAACTACCCAGATTAGATTTTCATTACAAATTTCACACGCACTTGTTGACAAAGTTGCATGTTTTATTGGTGACCCTCAATTATCACTGACAGAAGCCCACTGCGTGCCAGATGAGATCATTCTCATCAAGGTGGAGTTATTGTTTTTGCCTCAACTTTAAAACTGAGTTCTGTTGTATTTGGGTTTTAAATTCCATATCTTTGCTTTAAGCACAAGGTCACATCAACAAAGCAGGTAGCCACTCGTACATGTGATATAGCATTACCAACAGGACCTCATTTTGTTGTGGTTTTATACTTTAAAATGCTTTGCAACACATACACACCTCAAGGTTCTCAAACACAAAAACTCGAAGTGGTGACATGTGTCTGTTGTGGAACAACTGTGACATCTGGTAGAGGGTAGAGAGTGTTGGTAAGGTGTGCTCTCATCAACGGCTTTGGCCTTGATGACATCTTGCCCTGAGAAATATGCATATTTTCCAGCTGTGCCCATTGTTTTTTTTTATTGCATGTGTTCTAAATAGTTTGATAAAAAAAATATTTTGTGCCTTACAGTTGCTACAGAATGGCTCAGGATTTTTTAAGCTTAGAAGCAAAGAAATTGCTAACATTTCAAATACCATTTGAAATACAAGCAAGCACAAACCATCCGACTGGAATTTCCTTGTGTTGCCAAAAAAATCTTAATTATTTATCCACGGTGGATAATGCCGTGCGAGTTTGAAGGCGACAGTTTGTAAAAATCACTCGTGCATACAAGAACACCAGCAACAGCCACTTGTTAGCTTGGACTTCTAAGTCACTGAAAGTCACTGGAAACATTTTTCCCACCAAGATTACAAATTCACATATTTCATGCATTACGTAAGAATTGTATTTGTACTGCATATTTTTAAATGTAATTACTTAGCCCCAGCCAGCCGAAATCGCTTAACCCCATCACCAAGGTTCGCATTTAGCACAAGGTGCATTTTCTCAAGTTCAACCAGTGCCTTTACTCTCGAGTGAGAGGGACAAAGCAGTGGGCTTAACGTCTGTATTTAAAGCACAGGACAGCATTAAACATTCACAGACGTGATCAAGTTAAGCGACCATTAGATGGTATACGTAGTCTTCGGTCTTAGGTTACCGCATGCAATGGGTAATAGAACAGAGGCAGAATTCCCCTCCAAGTGGAAGCTCGGTCTTCACCTGTTGAACTTAGTTTTATTTTTATAGCAAAAATCATGATGCCTTAAAACCCTCAATGTTGTGCTAAAACAGTACAGTATAATCTGGATATAAGCACACATTGTATAAACACAGTTCTGTTATAGGCAACACATGCTTACATTACACTGGTGGGTGGAATGTAAGCATGTGTTGCATCTACTCGTACAAGCACACCCCTCGTGTTACTCCCAAGGGGTGTGCTTACATCCAACTTCTACTTTGCTATAGTGTGGTCTATGTCATGAAAATATAACGATTCTGTGATGATATTACATCACATGCTCTAACCCAGGGGTCAGCAACCAAAATAACAAGAGCCAATTTTTTTTCTAATTCGGTAAAAAAAATCCATATTTTAAGAGCCGCAATGCACTGTGGTGCATACGAGACGTCGGTCCTTCATAAATTACATCACAAAGGGGCCCTGAAAGAGCCGCACGCAGCTACGGAGCCGCAGGTAGCCGACCCCTGCTATAGCGAACGGAAAGGCAAGATCGTTGTTAACACATTCCGACCAGTATTGCTGTTGCCATTGCTCGGTGCCAAATACACAAGCAGCCTCTCACATCCAGCAGTATGTGTGCGTGCTAAATGTTGGATACCAATGCATTCACTGATGAATACCCCCCCCCAGCCTCCGATGGTTACTAATCAATAGAGGGTTGCTATGGAGACACAAATGTTCGTTGCAAATTGACTTAAAGGTGGTCAACCGGAGTTGCCACGAAAAAAAACTGAGATTCCAACTTGTAGGTTAAATTTGGCACATTCAACAACTTAATTTGAGTGTTTGTTCAGAGTGAACAATTATTGCCAAAGATACATTTTTATCTACCTGGAAATACAGTGCACTCGTCAAAGTTTTCCCAAATGGTCACAGTAGTGTTTTGCCATTTATGAATGTCAACTGTGCAGCACATGCGTTGTACTCAAGTGCCTGAAAATGCGTAACTAAAATTAATTTTAAGTTGTGGAAAATGTAAATTCTTTGAAAGTTATTTTGCCATGAGGGTGCTTTATGTATGCTTAACATTGACGTGTTGTCAAGTGAGCCGCACTTGGCGTGGCTCCTTCAAATGTCAACAGGCGGCTTTGTTAATGCTCGGTAAAGGTTGTCATTATTTTGTGCCTTAGCACTGGGTTTCATTACTGAATGAGTACCATGGGTTGAAAATGTTTGACACTCAATCCTGTATGCCATGAAGTTATTTTACCTTGATTGGAATGTCATTGACTTCTTGTAGCATTTAAAAATAAATATAATTTAGAGACATCTTTTGGGTAGAGGGCTTGTGCAAGGACAATTCAATCATTTAGATATGGCAGTCGCTTTATTTCATTGATTAAACACTTCCAAACATGCAGGCTTATTTGCCAAGACAAAGCTGACTGAGTGATTGTGATGAGCACATTAACCCTGTGAGATGTCTAGATATGTTTTTTGTGTGGTGCAAACATTAGTATTAGGCTTTTCACAAATTTAAATATTGCAACGTTAATAGAGCGTAGGACTTAATTCTCATTGCTTGTTTGAATTCTGTAGTTTTTAAATGAGAAATGCTGTACACAGACCATGGCTATATTATAAGTCACGCAGCCTTCATGCACCGCCTGCGCCCAACGTTAATAAATTAATTGTCGTGTGTGACTATGGTCTAAGCAGAGATGGGGCAATTCATAGTTTACAACTTGCTCCGTTAAAAACCAAGCTATGGGTGTTAATATTTTTGTGTCTTAAATCGCTTACATCCATAGGTATTTTTACTTATGAGTTTGACCATTTGTTAAAGCAAATTACACTGCTATTATTAGTTGTGATCTGAGTTTTAGGAGGCTGCCGCGTTTCCAAAAGGTGGCTTGGTCGAGATGGGAGTTATTGTCAAAGTTGCTTTCTCTGCATGATGAACCCATGGGTGGTGTCTTTACGGTCTGTGAAGAGAACGCCGATCTCTGTTAAATCCCGGAAATAATAAACCGCCCATGCTAGGATCTGTTTTCATCTTGAAGTTGGTACGTTTTTGGTTGGATTGTGTATATGCATTTGGACAAATAAACATTAGAAATAAATACTTTCATCCTGTGTGTGTATCTTAACAGCTATTGAGGTTTGAATTCTTGTTTTGGGTGTAATTAAGGTTAATGCGCTCACTATTAAGCCAGTTTATGCAAATTCAGTGATTCAGTTCTTATTGACATATCAACCATTATCCAAGAAGGTGTGAGGTCCATTCCTGAGTCACCACCCTCTCCAACCTCCCTTAACCCAGAACTTCAGGAATGTCCCCTCCACCGGTTCCCATAACCCCCTCCCCCCCTCTCGTATGAGTTGAAGGAAAATGCAAGTGACTTTATTGGACTTCGACCTTCTACGAAGATTTTATTGTTGGAAATCTACCCTTTGGAATGTATCGTAGACTGAACGTGCGAAGGGATGTTAAAACGTAGAGAACAAATGATCTGAGGCCAAAAAGATGTTGAGAAAGAGGGATAAAGGATGGATATGATAAATAAAGATATGTAAACACGTAGCTTTTTCATTGTGCGTATGCGCCTGCCAATGCAGTATCTCCAAATGTATTTTCTTTACACATTTTTCGCAGGCAATATGATTCATAACTCATGTTTGGGTTAAGGCACGTAATGATCTGGCCAAGTTTGTGTCGAAAAGACCTCCACCACCCGACGTTGCCAGACTAATTGAATTGTCACCAGTCAGTGAGCTGAAACAATGCATAGTTAGCGCGTGAAATTATTGTCCATGGGACAAATCAATGTGTGGTTATGTTTCGTTTGTGGGTGTTCTTGCTATGTAAATTTGGCCAGATCATAACGTGACCCAACCCAATAATTATTATTGGATTGGGTCACGTATTGTGGAGAGATATCGGTATCCGGTAGCTCATCAGTTGTATAAACACCCTGGGTGAAAATGTCTCCTTCGACTGTACATTAAATGTCACTGGACGCCTGCTCTGAAGCCATAATCACTCCATCAGCACTGACCCAGTGAACGCTCTGTTTGAGAGCTCCGTGCAATTGAAGATTCCGTGGCGGCATGCAAAGCGCAGTGAATGGTGGTGCCCCTTGCTGGGTACAACGCGCTATTGCACCACGAGGTGGGCGCGACTGTGTGTATGTGTGTATGGTTGGGCAGATGTGGACAAAGTCCCATCGGTGAGCTCCTCCGGCAAGCAAGGCTGCGTTGGCTGGGTCATGTAGCCCGCATGCCCAGCCACCGCATGCCGAAACAGCTTTTGTTCGACCGGATCGAGGGGGCTAAACGGGTACGGCACGGGCTAGAGAAGAGATGGAGTGATGTGGTACAGGAGGACGTGTATCTGAGTGGACTTGCCGATGACTGGTACCAGCAGTGTCAAGATCGGCCTTTGTGGAGGAGGCTCGTGAAAGACGCTACTGGGCAGTTGGAGGCAGTCGCCCTCCAACAACAACGGAGGGCGGAGGAGCGACGCTCACAACAACGAGCGGAGCGCCGGGTGGCTAAGGCACAGTTGGTACAGTAGGGGCTACAGGTGGTGCATCAGCCAGTCATCTCAGTCAGTCGACCCGTGGCACCTGGGTCTGCCCCATGACCTCCTGCAAGCGAGCGTTCGACACTTCACGTGGCCTCAAGGTGCACATAGCCTGGCACACGCGTCATGGCGACGTCACCGCCACTTGGTGGCGAATGGCGGTTGTTGTGTATGTAGCACCGTGTGTGTGTGCGATGGTGGACAACAAACTAAACACAAAAAGCAGCTTGAAATAAATGAGTTTTCAAACGAGGTGGTTTAAAAGTGCAAATCTCCAGTGGATTCCGAATATCGGAAGGAAGAGCGCTCCAGACGGCCACAGAAGCGCATCTGAAAGCGCGCGATGCGGTGGCCGTCTTTGTTCGATGGAGAATCAAAAGTGTAGTGTACATTGTAGTGTATAGTGTAGTATAGTGAATAGTGTGTAGCAGTGACGTGCGGTGAGGTCAATGGCTGGGGAGGCACTGGCTAGTGTCAGAGCCAGATTCACACACTGAGGGGGGCGTGGCCTCATTGAGAGGGGGCGTGGCCTCACTGAGGGGGCGTGGTCTCACTGAGGGGGCGTGTCCTAAATGAGAGGGGCGTGTAAGACACGTCCCCCTCAGTGAGGCAGATGTGATAGCTGCCTCCCCTGGTACTTTTTCACTGCAGTTTCATGACGAGACCAGCGAGCCTAAATATCTTTATACACATACGTGAAATAAGTTACCTGGAGTATGGAAGGCGAGCACATTAAATGAAGGGGTCTACCAACATTACATTGGTGACATACTGAGATAGTAACAGGCACGCGCTTATGGCCAGCGCTCCATCCAGTTACTGAGGGGTTGCGCAATCAGAGGGGAGGCTGAGCTCGTCGCTGCCTCACCTCTCGTCTCTTCCTGTATTTGCAGCGGAGCTCCGTATATTTGGCGATTTTGACTTTAAAAATGATTGGAATCGTACAGAAATGACATTTATAACACAGATCAGTGAAAAAAAAGTTTAGATTTTTTTTCGTAACAGCTGTTTTCATTGGAGAATGACAGGTGAGCCTCTGCCTGCCGTGCCTCCCCGGACCGCACGTCCCTGGTGCGTAGTATAGTGTATCGAGTATTATAGTGTATCATATAATGTAGTGTATATTGTAGCATCGTGTAGTGTATTCTAGTGTATATTTATGGCATCTGAAAGCTCGCGATGCGGTGTTACCGTATTTGTTCGATGTCTGAGCCACAATCCGCTGCTGCTGCGAGGTTGAGCCGAGTTGGCCTGATGATGGTTTATAGCTCAATCTTGAGATCAGCAGCGAGGCTGACATCTGGTGAATAGTCAGTGACTGGTTGAGTGTCAGTGGGGAGTTCAGCAGCGAGGCTGGCATCTCGTGAATAGTCAGTGACTGGTGAGTGTCAGTGGGGAGTTCAGCAGCGAGGCTGGCATCTCGTGAATAGTCAGTGACTGGTGAGTGTCAGTGGGGAGTTCAGCAGCGAGGCTGGCATCTCGTGATTAGTCAGTGACTGGTGTCAGTGGGGAGTTCAGCAGCGAGGCTGGCATCTCGTGAATAGTCAGTGACTGGTGAGTGTCAGTGGGAGAGTTCAGCAGCGAGGCTGGCATCTCGTGAATAGTCAGTGACTGGCTGGCATCTCGTGAATAGTCAGTGACTGGTGTCAGTGGGGAGTTCAGCAGCGAGGCTGGCATCTCGTGAATAGTCAGTGACTGGCTGGCAACTCGTGAATAGTCAGTGACTGGTGAGTGTCAGTGGGAGAGTTGAGCAGAGAGACTGGCATCTCGTGAATAGTCAGTGACTGGCTGGCATCTCGTGAATAGTCAGTGACTGGTGAGTGTCAGTGGGAGAGTTCAGCAGCGAGGCTGGCATCTCGTGAATAGTCAGTGACTGGCTGGCATCTCGTGAATAGTCAGTGACTGGTGAGTGTCAGTAGGGAGTTCAGCAGGGAGGCTGGCATCTCGTGAATAGTCAGTGACTGGCTGGCATCTCGTGAATAGTCAGTGAATAGTCAGTGTCAGTGGGGAGTTCAGCAGGGTTTGTCTCGCAAGTCTGACACTGCTGATGAGGCGCAGAATGTCCAAACCAGTCCTAAGTTTATTTTATTTAAAACAAATGATGCTTCTTGATCAGAGTGGCATAGCTGCAATGTAAATGTGCTGAAGGATTAAAACATAATCTATTCATTTGTGGACATTGCAGGGAATTATGCTTATATTTGCTTTTGTGTAACGGCGCTCAATTGAATTGAATACATTTGTCAATAACGTTGCCTTAAAGATGTATATATACTGTACGGATATAATTGGCGACGTTTCGGCCACTTGCCCTCTTTTGAAAGTATAAACCCCAGTGAGGCAGGCTTAGTTGCAAGTGCACCACTGCCAAACCCAGCAAGATCACCACATATTGTGTTCAACGGAATTGGATTGTATGTACATTTTTTTAATATATATAAATGTTGAGTGCCTTAGATTAAGGCGCTAAATTTAAAACGTTTATAAGATCAGATTTCCCGAAACCGACCCGGAACGTTTAATGCCAATCACGCGACCGGAACGAATGTTCTGATCCCGTGGTTCTCGGCCGGACGTGTTCCCACAAGGCACCGCGTCCTCGTGAGTCGACAAAAGCTGTGGTGAGGGCGCGCGAGTTTTCGCTCTCGACATTTGTGTTTTTTTAAAGCTTAAAACCAAATTTAAACAAAATAAACAAACCTCGAACTAATACGGCGACGGCGACGTCTATTCGATTAACTTTGCGCGCGTCGGCTGAGCGTGCCTGTGCGTTGCGGGTGTGCCGTGGCGGGAAGGGCCTGTGCCGAGTGTTGAATGAAGGAGACGTTTCGCGCTTAAGTGCAGTGGGCGTGACACGTTTTATGTTATTAATTATAATCGGCGTTATACGTTTATTGTTATTATTATACACCCGTGATGGTCGTGGTCTTGTAGCGAGCACTTTGTTGCGTTAACGTTGCGGTGTTATCGTTGTACATGATGGATTGCCACGCCGTCGTCATTAAGCGTCTTCAGCAGAAGAGTTTTTTAAAATGCCACAATCACCGTCAACTCTGCAATCGCTGGTCACGCTGCATTCTTAACATTGTTGTCGTTACCGTCATCAATGTTGTCGTCATTTCCAACATTATCTCCGCCGTTAATGTCTTCATGAAGATATTGTTACCCTCTTTACGTTTTTGTTACCGTCATTGACGTGTTTAATTGTTTTAATCGCGGCTTGCCGTTGTGAGACAAATTCCATTCTTAATGGCGGTGATTGTCATCATTATCGTGACTGTCATATTTTTTTTAAACAGTTGCCATAAATAGCCTAATCCATGATCGATTTTCAGTCATTAATACTAATCATTAATGTCGGTGTCATGATTACTTTCACACTATCATGAATTGGCATCGTTTTTTTTTATTTCCATCGCAGCAATCACGAACAGTATCACTCATTTAAATCATCACCAACTTAGCGTAATCGTCAAAGTTGTGTTCGTTATAAGCCGCTGTCTGACCCTAGCGTGTGTGTTCGCAGGTGCTAGCGTTGAAAGAAGATGTTTCTGACACGCTCAGAGTATGACAGGTAATGTGTGTGTTTTTAGATTAATCACTCTTGGTCAAAAGTTAAAAGTGGCTCACTACTTAAACGATATTGCGGCGCCGCTCATCTCAGTTGGCGGGTCTGAGCCAATGGTGGGAATTCCGCTTCATCGTTTTTCTGTGGTAGATAAAATGTATTTTTGCTTTGCAGCAAGACAGCAATTTCCTATTCGTAGAGCGGCCTACTCCTTAAGAATGTGTAATATTCACCGATAAAGATGCGCTCCACTCAATGCTTGCCTGAGCAGCAGTAAGACACCTGCTGTGGTGCTGGTGTTGCACCGGAGGCAAGTGTTGTCACTTTGGATTAATGCGAACCTGATTATTTTTTGCAGAGGTGTGAATACATTCTCGCCTGAAGGACGAATCTTCCAGGTGGAATATGCCATCGAAGCCATCAAGGTGCGGATCCCAGTTGACATCCTCTATTGTGCGTGTGTTCCAGGTGATTTAGTCACAGGAAAATCTCGGTTAAGTAGGTTGAGACTGGGCAGTGCTTGGATGTGTGACCAGGATGCACAGCGGGCTAAGTTGCAGGGCTCTTTGATGGGCAGCGGAGGGCAGTGCAGCAGAATCCATAATTGTACTGCGCTTTTAAGCTGCCACGTCTATGCAACACACCTGTTTTCCTTCCCCGTACTTACGATTGGCACTGTTGGTACGCACGGTGTGAAAGAAGCTCAACATACATGCGTACACATTACATTCAGCCTACACTGAACAGCATGGTGAAGTATGCTCAAATTTCCAAATGCCTCGCACTACATCGGAAAGCCTTCAGCAGTGGAGTGACAAAAGAGCTGTATAGTTGCACATTCAGACGTGAAGGGAGTGATAAAATTGACGTTTCCTTTTGCTGCTTTTGCCACACAGCTCGGCTCGACTGCGATTGGCATCCAGACCTCGGAGGGCGTTTGTCTGGCGGTGGAGAAGAGAATCACGTCCCCCCTCATGGAGCCCAGCAGCATCGAGAAGATTGTGGAGATCGACGCTCATATAGGTTCGTGGGCTCTTACCTCCAGCGCGCACACTGCTCCTACTCTGTAAACTGGGCCTTTCAAAAGCTGCTAGTTGTGCCCTTGGAATAGCGCAACATTGCTCTTAAATATATCTTGTGAGCACTCATGTATGTACAGGCAGGCTTTGACTTATGAACGCCCGTACTTACGAACCAGCTTCAGTGAAATATAAAAAAATTACATTGACTTAAAACGCAAACGCGCACTTTAAAACTGAACCGCAGAATTATTTTGTTCAGAGGAGCAATCCTCCGCGAGATGTAATTAGTTTAACAATGCTTCGCTTTTGTTGAACCGTCACATTTCACAACATTGACCTATGGGCATTTAAATGTATTGCGTCATATTCCGACTTACGAACTGTTCGACTTACAAACGGGTCTCATGAACGAATTAGGTTCGTAACCCGAGGACTGCCAACCATGCTTATTGGAGGTGCGAATGTCGTATTTGAAACATTTAAACATGGCCATTTGTGAATTCAATGTAATGTTAGCAACTGTTAGATTTCGCGTGGGTTTTAATGGTTCAGTGTTTAGTAACGCTACTTTCTCATCACTCTTAAGTAAACTATAAGAAGTACATGTTTTGTTTATGGAGAGACATTCCATTCTGTTTATGCATCGTAATACACAGTGGTCTACAACAGCACGAGTTGTCTGAAACCCAGCAGTATTTTTGTGACACGCCTGAGTCAGCTGATGAGACCAAACTGTTGAAACCGATAGAGTTGGCTTGCTAAGACAAGTACTTCTGGATAGTCTTGTTACAGAGGGTCTGTAAAATGAACAGGAGTCTGTTTATTTGTATTCTTATTGTATGTAAATAAACAATAATGTGATAATAATGACATTGTTTGTAAACAGTATCTTGCATTTGTTGTGTTTTTGTTACTTTGTTTTAGGTTGTGCAATGAGTGGGCTGATTGCAGATGCCAGGACACTTACAGACAGGGCAAGAGTTGAAGCTCAGGTATCTTTCATTTTAACACTGTTCACATTCTCGCTCAGTGTCGCTTCTCATTTTCAACCACCTGGACTCTGTAAAGTCACATATACAAAAACGTTTGCTAGACATGATTGGACTGGCCTACCATACAACCAAGCATTTCTCTTTTTAGTTGATTTTGGGGTTGGGCTGCCTTGTAGCAACTGGCCCAGCTTAAATAATTTGCCAGCTGGTTGAAATTGGGTGTAGTAAATGTGGCCCAACTCCAGGACTGACTTACCGGGCAAATGCCCAGTTGTCTGTTTGCCCGGTTCAACCCCTGTCAGGTGTGAGAAATATCCTTAAGAGCTTTTGAAAATGTAATTTCTTATCATTTTGTTTGTATGCCACAAAACAAACTCTGACAAGTCTAACAGTGGAGCAATGGTTTGTGCACTGCACTATAAACCCTCCAACCTGGGTTTCATTCTCAGCCACGACTAAAATCAGTGGCGAGTGATAGATTAACTGATCTTTGCCCCCCCTCCCCATTCACCAAATTTCACTGTTCAGTTTGGTTAAGTATGATCAAAGCAGCCCCCACGAGTGACAGCTTGGTGAAGCCTTCATCGACCAATATATTGAAAGCTTCAAATCAAGATTATATTAATGTTTAATGACGTAATTATGTGAGAGATAGAATTCAATGGAGCAACGTGGGATGTGTGCGGTGCGTATTCAGAACCACTGGTTCACGTACAACGAGCGGATGACAGTGGAGAGCGTCACGCAGGCCGTGTCCAACTTGGCACTCCAGTTCGGCGAGGAGGATGCCGAGCCTGGTGCTATGGTGAGTGACGCCTGTCCTGGCACACGGACTTGGTATGAAAATAAGACACCACAAGACTTCCGTTAACTCATGAACCTGGAAATTTAAACCTTGTAATAACTTTTTATTTACGGATGGGGCTCACTTTGTATACACATACAGTGAGGGAAAAAAGTATTTGATCCCCTGCTGATTTTGTACGTTTGCCCACTGACAAAGAAATGATCAGTCTATAATTTTAATGGTAGGTTTATTTCAACAGTGAGAGACAGAATAACAACAAAAAAGTCCAGAAAAACGCATGTCAAAAATGTTATTAATTGATTTGAATTTTAATGAGCGAAATAAGTATTTGACCCCTCTGCAAAACATGACTTAGTACTTGGTGGCAAAATCCTTGTTGGTAATCACAGAGGTCAGACGTTTCTTGTAGTTGGCCACCAGGTTTGCACACATCTCAGGAGGGATTTTGTCCCACTCCTCTTTGCAGATCTTCTCCAAGTCATTAAGGTTTCGAGGCTGACGTTTGGCAACTCGAACCTTCAGCTCCCTCCACAGATTGTCTATGGGATTAAGGTCTGGAGACTGGCTAGACCACTCCAGGACCTTAATGTGCTTCTTCTTGAGCCACTTCTTTGTTGCCTTGGCCGTGTGTTTTGGGTCATTGTCATGCTGGAATACCCATCCACGACCCATTTTCAATGCCCTGGTTGAGGGAAGGAGGTTCTCACCCAAGATTTGACGGTACATGGCCCCGTCCATCGTCCCTTTGATGCGGTGAAGTTGTCCTGTCCCCTTAGCAGAAAAACACCCCCAAAGCATAATGTTTCCACCTCCATGTTTGATGGTGGGGATGGTGTTCTTGGGGTCATAGGCAGCATTCCTCCTCCTCCAAACACGGCGAGTTGAGTTGATGCCAAAGAGCTCCATTTTGGTCTCATCTAACCACAACACTTTCACCCAGTTGTCCTCTGAATCATTCAGATGTTCATTGGCAAACTTCAGACGGGCATGTATATGTGCTTTCTTGAGCAGGGGGACCTTGCGGGCGCTGCAGGATTTCAGTCCTTCACGGCGTAGTGTGTTACCAATTGTTTTCTTGGTGACTATGGTCCCAGCTGCCTTGAGATCATTTACAAGATCCTCCCGTGTAGTTCTGGGCTGATTCCTCACCGATATCATGATCATTGCAACTCCACGAGGTGAGATTTTGCATGAAGCCCCAGGCCGAGGGAGATTGACAGTTATTTTGTGTTTCTTCCATTTGCGAATAATCGCAATAACTGTTGTCACCTTTTCACCAAGCTGCTTGGCAATGGTCTTGTAGCCCATTCCAGCCTTGTGTAGGTCTACAATCTTGTCCCTGACATCCTTGGAGAGCTCTTTGGTCTTGGTCATGGCAGAGAGTTTGGAATCTGATTGATTGCGTCTGTGGACAGGTGTCTTTTATACAGGTAACATGCTGAGATTAGGAGCCCTCCCTTTAAGAGTGTGCTCCTAATCTCAGCTCGTTACCTGTATAAAAGACACCTGGGAGCCAGAAATCTTTCTGATTGAGAGGGGGTCAAATACTTATTTCCCTCATTAAAATGCAAATCAATTTATAACATTTTTGACATGCGTTTTTCTGGATTTTTTTAGTTGTTATTCTATCTCTCACTGTTCAAATAAACCTACCATTAAAATTATAGACTGATCATTTCTTTGTCAGTGGGCAAACGTACAAAATCAGCAGGGGATCAAATACTTTTTTCCCTCACTGTAATATTAAGATTGGTGTGTCTCATGACATCGCTGTGGGATCTGTTTTCCTTGTCCTCTTTCATTCCAGTCCGAGGCCATATCCACTCCACAGTCCTTCATATCTTAGTTCACCACTGACAACCACCGGTTCATAGGCTGACCTGTGTACACCCTGGTACTTACACGTCCATCACCTTTCTCCCGATGTGGTTGTTTTCTTTGAGCTCTGAGATGGAATCGCTCTTTTCATTCACAATGCTGCTTTTCCACCCGCAGTCTCGCCCGTTTGGAGTAGCACTCCTCTTTGGAGGAATCGACGAGAAGGGACCACAGCTGTACGTATTTTTGCGCACGTCTGAGCCGCATTCATAAAATATACACACACATGGGCAAGTGGAGAAGTGCCCTGCTACATTAAGTTGCCTGTAACCTTTTTCCCAACAGTGCGTTTGTCAATTATTGATTCATTGATGAGTAGGGAAAACAATTCTCAAGCATTGCCTTCATTGGCAATGAACAATGTTTGGAAGTTATAATCTTTTTTTTTGTTGTGCATTTTGAGTTAAATTTGTCCTGAAATTAGTCATGTTGACTGGGTGGCTAAGCCAAAGCCTTGCACTCTGGCTTATGAGCATGACACTTGGCACAAATATGCATTGATCCATGCCAGGTGTTGTATATTGATATGGACCTCACTTGGCAGTGTCCCCCGGTTGCCTTGGGGAAAACGAATGTGTTTGTGTCTTAAACATTCCAGTATGTGTTGCATGTACAATTGGAGTATGTTTCCTGAATTCACAAGTGCCTTTTTGTTACATTGGTTGTAACCCCACCATGCATGTCAGATGATACCAAAATAGTTGTGTTGAGTAAGGTCAATGACTAAACTTGGGACAGTGGCATTCGTATAAGTCATAGTTAATTGCAATGACAATGTCATTTCGGCTAACAGTCTTCCTGTAACTATCCCAGGTCTGTACAGCTCTTTTGTCAACAAAGGCAGGAAGCAGTTTTGTTTTCCAAAAGATTGCAAGCCTCAGAGAATATCGCACCGACACAAGCAGCTAGAAAACAGCACGCCATGCTTTTGTAGCCTCCTGCCCTGGATGTACGTGGGGGCGCGAACTGCAAAATGGCCCGGAGATGAGCAGTCATGTACATTGGGGTTTGATAAAGCAAAGGTGGGAACTGGATTGAAACCAGTGTGGGCAAACGTTATCCACGCTGTGCACATACGGCGTGCGTTGATGTACCGGAGTAGTAAGAAGGAATGCCGAGGCCAATGTAAGTGCTGTTAAGACTGGTCTGGGGAATACTGTAAAAACATGTCTCCTGTATCAAATATATATTCTATATTTATTTAAATTGTTATTATAACCTGCTTCAACAATGATTTCTGAAAAATGTAAGTTTTTATGCATATTCTTGGTTCTTTTGGTAAAGTCACGTTGAAGGGAAACAATAAAATAATATTTTATTGTTTCCCTTCAATATTTTATTGTTTCCCTTCAACGTGACTTTACCGAAAGAACCAAGAATATGAATCACTGCAGTCACGAAAGCTTTAAATAATAAAGTTTTTATGCAGTTTGAGTTTTTCAGCAAAATGCTGAAACACACAGGTTCCTAATTTGGCCACGAGGAGGAGCTTGGGTGGTGGTACCATTATGAGAAATTGTTGATGCCAGTGGTTCTCACCCTGTGGTCCGCAATGCCATGGGAAGGTGGTCCGTAGAACTGTTGCAGTTTCTACAAGATGGAGAGTCGTTTTTATTTTTAAAATACGTTATTGGTGCATGACCATGGGCGGAGATGTTTTTTCATACTTGACGGTGATCCATGAGTTTATAACAACTCTCTATGAGACTTAACCGAAAAACCCAAAGAAAATCAATGAATGTTCATGGCAAGTTTCATACTTTTTTATCCAAAGTTCAAGGTTTTGACCATCTTACCTTAACCACCCGAATTGTTTGGCCCACTTGTGTTTAGTATAGTAATAGGCAAATAGAGGTAGCCAGACGTGTTGCTGCATTGTCCATAATGGGTGCTCCCTAACAACAAAGCCACCAGTTTAACTGAGCTAATGTTTGGCCGAATGTGCGTGCGTGTACGTCCGTAGCTTCCACATGGACCCATCGGGCACCTTCGTGCAGTGCGATGCTCGTGCCATTGGCTCGGCTTCCGAAGGCGCCCAGAGCTCTCTTCAGGAAGTCTACCACAAGGTCCGCTCTGTCACCAGTGGGGGCAGCACTTGACGGAAAACAGGACCTCGTTCTGTCGCCGCTTGCTTACTCTCTCCCCTCTCTCGTGTCCCTTGCCCTCACCCCACAACTTCCCATTTCACTTTATCCACTCAACGTTGTTGTCAAGCGTATTGGGATAGAGTTGTATTTAGATGGTGTATGAATTCTAATTGTGGTTGTAAAAAATACCGCTGAGCAGCTGCTTTTTAATGTTATTTTGAATCCGACTACAATATTGCTTTCATTAACCGATATATGCTGGTGTGTGTGGGCTTTCAGTCTATGACCCTGAAAGAAGCCATTAAGACTTCCCTAACCATCCTCAAGCAGGTCATGGAGGAGAAACTCAATGCAACCAACATCGAGGTGACTTGCAAATCACACTGCCACTGATATAGATATGTTTGTTTAAAAACATGTTAATCTATTGTGTCGTCTATATCTCTTACAGTGTTGGTTTAAAGGTTATCCCTGGAAACACCCGCATTTTTGAAAAATGTATTAAGTGGGTCATTCCATAGCAAATCAATCCAGAATATAGTTGACCAAATCGATTTAAATTCGGAGGATATATTTTGTAATTGAGAAATGGGCTTCAAAGCTGGTCTCTCGGGATAGCCGTGGCGAGTGCTGCTCGTCTCTTCCTCGCGACGTTCCGCCTCCTCCCACGTTGTGGAGGCATCTTCTGGCAGTGCGGTCAATCCAGCTGAGGTTTTGCTACCACTTATATAAGTTCTGGTGACTCACAGGAACGTGTGGTAAATACATAGAGCCGTGAAAAACCTATATCATTAGATTTGTATTTGGCAAAGAAGGCCTCCACCCAAATGTTCAGTCAATCCAGCCTCCTGTTGCTCAGATACAGGTCACCCACCGTGACCAGTGGGTGACCTTCACCACTGCCTATAGCACCTCCAGTGGTGGAAGTGGGAACTAAACTAAACAGTCAAGTGAAGTCTATGTAACCGACCAGAATAATCTCTTTGCATCTGAAGCCGTGTTCGGTAACGTGATCGTAACTCCCAAAGTAATGGAGTACATGCACACTTTTACACTTGCAGGAATGATTGCCAAGTCTGTACTCTACGATATATAATATCTAGAAAAAATCCAAGTTTTACATCATTTGAGCAAGGTGATAGTCAAAAATAACGTCAAGTTTTTGTCCTCCATTTCTAAGTTTTTGCCATAGAGTAGAAATGTTAGATTTCATCAAGAGCTTTAAAATATCAGCATTCAACTAAGGGAATGCACAATTCCTAGAAGGTTGCCGAGTGGTCATGGTAAAACTTTGATTTCTTATATCTGTGAAACAGGAGGTCGGATTAACCTTAAATTAAAATTGCCTGTTGCACACCGCGCCACATGCCACATGTCGTCCGAATAGAGGACGGTCGTATCATTTCCACCTTTTGTATTATTCGGCATTTAATGACCCATGTATGATTTATATTAAGGATAAAAAGTTATTTATACCTTTTGGTCAATGGAATGAATGGGACGGACAAACAGGATGGATCAAACGTGCCAGGAAATGCAGATTACAAAGACGAGACAAGGAATGATTTTGAAATCGAATTGTGACCCTGATCGTGATTATTGATCTCACTATGGAAGTGATTTGTTACCTGCCGAATACAGTTGCTCTGTTTAAATATTTTTGAACTTCATGGATTGTGTGTTCACTTAAACCTTTTCCTATTCTGTCAACAGCTGGCCACGGTGCAGCCGGGTAAACTCTTCCACATGTACACAAAGGAGGAGATTGAGGAGGTTATAGCAGACATATGAGCGCTGCAGCGTCGATGATGAGCAACGAAGTTAAGCCACTCTGTGTACAAATCTCCTTTACATTTACACCACATTTTCATGAGCCACATCACCCAAGTTTGCCATTCCGGCAGCAAGTTTCCTTATTTTGGGTCAAAACGACAAATGGGTTGTGAATTTGGGCCATACCAGAAATTTTCCAGGCCACTTTAGCTTCATGGGCTTGGGCTTGATTCCCTTCGTCATAATTGAGGCGGAGAAAAAATGCATCGCCGGACATGTTATGATAAAAATGTGTGGGTGGTGGGAACATTTAATTTTGTCAGCAACACGGTCCTGAGGCTTTTCCTCGCAAGTATTTATGGGAAAGTTCTGCTCGGATCTATTTCTGGGAAAGACCTGCCCATCTTCCTTGACAACTCGGGATATCATGGAAACAACACTTTCATAGGTAAATCGAGTTTTCCTTCAATTAGAGTTCTGGGAGAAATCAGGGCAATTCAGGCCAACTCGAGTTGGCTCAAGGTGGCTATCTTACAGAATCTGGGTACAATTTGTCTTTGCAGTTTCCTATTTCATCAAAGTGAAACTAGACATTTTCAAAAGTGGTAATTGTACCCAACTCTTTCATATTTTGAGCATTTATGATAAGAATAAAAAAACATCCCTGTTGTACTTTTTAACTTAAACAAAAATAAATCTGCCGCCACATTGTTGCTCAACTGGAAAATAAACGGAGTTTTGTTAATGGATGTTTGAGCTTCCGGAGATTTGTTGGCTCAGGTTGTTGCAGCGTAACTGGACAGAGTAATCTGATGAACGTTTGGTTGTGGAAGAGTGTCAAAAGTAAATGTCACCTTTTTGTTGTTGCTGCAGTTTATTTAAATGACCATTGTGTAACAACATCTACAACAGTGTATATTACAACAGGGAGTGTGCAACCTTTTTTTTTTAATATGGGCCACATTGGGAGTCCAGCTGTCCCGTAGACCAGCATGCCAGCCTGGTCGCAGCAAACAGCCTGCTGAGTAACCCTCCGAGCGTTCACGTGTCTCGAGCGTTCACGTGTCTCGAGCGCTCACGGGCCGGTCGAAACCACTTGGCGAGCCGATATGGGCCCGTGCGCAGTAGGTTGCACACCCCCGTACGTTAGAAGCTACTGCACAGACGCACCGGGGGGGGGGGGGGGTGAGAAAATTGCTCCCAAGAGAAAAGGAAACGCTTTTCTCCCCAGGTTAACATTGCACTCGCAATGCTCTTCTGCGGCCGTAACTCGTGTGTTGGTATTGTAGGGGACAATTTCCATTAGCTGTGGCCAATTTGTATGCTTCGATTGCGTATTTTTTTTTGTAAAAGGTAAACTTCGTAGGAATTTACACTGTTGACTATCAGGACAGGGGTTTGGCTTGTGTGCAAGGTGATACGTCTCCAGTAGATGGCGCTGCCTGCAGGTGGACTTGTAAAGCAGGTGACCCAAGGCTTGCTCTCAACAAGATGTACTGTCAAATGAAAGTGGAATAATAAAAAAAACACATTTGAAGTATTCTAGACCTGTGCATCTTGGTGGTCATTGTTATCGTATGCCTGTTTTCATCCCAGCAAAAACATTTTAAAGGAATAGTTTGACATTGTTTATTTGGGTTAGTGAACAGAAAAGAGTTCACTCTTGAAATTTGTTTAACATTCTTGTGAGTGTATTGGAAACTAAATTTGGAATAAAGTGAGTTTTTATATTTGTGAGCATTTCAACTTATGTTTCCTGGTACATTTGTTTGTGAACACTTCGAAATAAACACTCAAGTGTTTGTATCACCAGACTACAGGATATTGTACATGCTTCCTTAAGTACAGGAAATTGCATTCAACTGTGGGTTTTAAAATTGTTAAATAGCAGGCACTACCCTGCAGTAATATGAAGAATGATGTATAATGTCACGTGAGTTAAACCCAAAACTTACACAGAAAAATCATGTCAGCTATATGTGTCATGGAATGGACATGTACAGATGTATGTCAGTCCACTGCTGGGAGAGAACCTTACCATGCTGTGGAGGTTATATGACCGTACTTCACGTTCGTTAGTGTGGGTAGGTGAATGTGGGAAATGGAGCCTAGTTCATTTCAGCTATGGGTATAGCTGTACTGCCTCTGCTTCCCACAACGTAATCCCACATGATACGTGCTGGTGGTAACCCATCCAAATACTATCCAGGCTGAACTCGGCTTCACATCTTACATATGGCGCCTCTTTAGACATCCCTCTAAAAATAGTTGAAGTCTATACCAATTCATGGTAGTTATCTTAAGAACTGAAGAGCCCATAAAGTTATCAGGGTCTTGGCAAAGGAATTTTTTTTTACCAATGTCCTTTATTCAGCCTGAGTGTCAAAACATACTCTTTGGTTCTTTCGGTAAAGTCACATAGGTAGAAAGAAAAATAAATAATAAATCGCTACGTTTCGATTGCAACACAAGCAATCGTCATCAGGTGGAAAGATAAAGCAGTAGAACTGCTGAACAAGAAAGAGCTGCTGCTGCAACAAGAAGTTATATAGAGGTTTGAGGTGGGTGTCACCCAAGGGTAAGAAGGCGGAGTCAGAGATGGAAAGGCGTCCCGTCGCCGTACGCACGCACAGCAGCTGCGTTAAAGGGAGAGATTGGAATGTTAATGTAAACGAGTATAATGGGAAATGTTTTAAGGAGGTACTGTCAATTATTTAATTATAAGGAAACCCCCAATACAAATGTTCATGGGAGGAGCACACTCCAAATTGGTAGAGATATGTCATCAACAGACTTGCTGAACTACTATTACTAGCCCACAGGCTGAAAATATTACACACTGATCTCTTCATCTTTCCTATTAAAGGCATTTTTGTCTGTGTGTCTGTCCGTCTGTCTGTGAACACACGCTTTCGAAGGATTTGGCTCGTTAACCGTGGGGTTTACGCTTTGAAAAAGTAGCCGGGTACCACGCCGTAAACCCCGTGGTGAGCCAGCGCTATTCCGTTTTCCCATCCGTCAACTTTAAAGTAGTTAAATGAACAATTGAGTGTTATTTTTATTTAATTATTTCCTCGTGCCGCTCAAGCTGCCCGAGGATTGCCCCTAGCAACGCATACGTGTCATCGGTGGAGGGGGGGGGATTTCTCATTCGTGTTCAAAATGCATAAAAAATACACAACGCTGAGGTAAATTCATCAAAGTGTCATGTCTCTCTCCCCCCCCCACCCCAATGTGTGCACTTACTACTATAGGGTCGGTAGATACTAATATTATAGCGCTTAGATAGTATTATTGTCGCGTGGGCGGGGGGATGGTGGGGGGGATAGCGGCCCAGCCCCCAACCTGCCAAGGTACCACCTCGGCCGGCTGGGCAATCTAGGCGAGGCCGGGGGCCCTGCACGGGACTAGGCCTCACCACGCATTTCTGTCAGGTGAGTACTTTGTGCTATAGAGTCAATATATACTGCTATAGAGTCAGCATGTACTACTGTGATAGCAGGTACCACCACAGTCAGTATGCACTGCTGTTATAGCAGGTACCACCACAGTATGCACTGCTGTTATCATAGGTACCACAGTCGGTATGCACTGCTGTTATAGCAGGTACCACCACAGTCGGTATGCACTGCTGTAGTTAAAGCAGGTACCACCACGGTATGCACTGCTGTAGTGATAGCAGGTACCACCACAGTCAGTATGCACTGCTGTAGTGATAGCAGGTACCACCACAGTCGGTATGCACTGCTGTAGTGATAGCAGGTACCACAACAGGCGGTATGCACTGCTGTAGTCAGTAGATACTGCTATCGAGTTGGTAGATACTGCTGCTATATCGAGTTAGTAGATACTAAAACAGCCAGTATATATACTCTTTGGTTCTATTCGGTAAAGTCACGTAAAAACAAAAAATACAAATTCACTGCGTTTCGGCCACAACACAAGTGGCCTTCATCAGGTGAAGGGACCGTGCTGTCATGAGGACAGCATTGGAGTGAAAACAGCCAAGCCCAGGTCGTGTCCTTTAAGCTTCGTGAGAGGAAGCAAAACGCTTGACAAAGGAATTAGCATAAAAATGAGAACGATGTACGTAGGAGGTGTATGGGCCATGATAGACCAGGAGCGGGTTGGGACCATGACGGACCAGCAGCGGGGGGGGGGGGGGGGGGGGAGTAGAGTGAGTAAGTGGAGTGAGTGGAGTGAGTCAGTGGAGTGAGTGAGTGGAGTGAGTGGGTGGAGTGAGTGAGTGGAGTGAGTGAAGGGACCAGATTGTCCAGAGGACAGCGCTGGAGTGAACACAGTCAAGCTTAGACCGCGACATCTAAGCTGTGTGAGAGGAAGCAGAGCGCCCTGACAAAGGAATTAGCATAAAAATTAGCATTTCATTGGCGGACTTAGAATGAAGGACGATGCACTGGGGGGGAGTATGTGCAGACCGGTGAGGGGGGGGAGCCCACATATTGATGGTGTGAAAAGGGAATTAAAGCAGCTACGAAAGTTTGGGATACCACTACTTAAAAAATATACTGTACCATTGAAAATTAGTTTAATGTTTGGTTTGATTCAGAACATCTTTCCAATGGTTGCTTAATTTGAAACCATCCTTTCGGTTGAAATTGTGTCTGTGTTTGTAAATCTGAATTGCCTCGTGAACAAATCTCTGATAAAAACCCGTGGGTTTGCAAAGAACCTTGGTATCAGAGAAAATTATATCGTGATCACCCACAGTGTTGTAACAGTGATCAGCTACGGCAGAAGAATTCGTTCTGCCGTGTTTCAAATCTGATTTGTGCTCACAGATTCGGTCCGAGACATGTCGTTTCGTCTCCCCGATATAGCAGTCACCACAGGTGCAGATCAATTTGTAAACTCCGGGGTACTGTAAGTCAGGAATGACATCCTTCACGGAAGGGATCAGGTCACGGATTTTGTGTACTGTATTGAACCGGACCAGGATCTTGTGTTTGTTTAGTATTTTGGAGATCTTTTTAGTAACGCCTGCTATATATGGTAGTGTGATGGTTTTGATCGGAGTGTCAAGTGGTTGTTTCTGTATGGAGGGAGAGACAGCTTGGCGGATGGTACTGTCAGAGTATCCCTTCCTTTTGAGGGCCAGGTGTACATGTTTTAATTGACTGGTCAGGTGGTGTTAGTCCGAAATGCAATGAGCCCTCTGGTATAACGTTTTGATGAGATAATTATTTTGCGTCGGGTGGTGGTGGGAATCAGGTTTCAAGTAGGAATCTGTGTGGGTGGGTTTCCTGTAGACAGAATGCCCCAATGAGCCATCAGGTCTCCTCTCAAACAGAACATCCAAGAATGGCAGCTTGCCATCTTTCTCCACTTCCATGGTGAATTTGATGGTGGGGTGTCTAGAATTAATGTGGTCTAGGAAAAGGTTCAAAGCCAGGAGGCCATGTGGCCAAATGACGAAAGTGTCGTCTACATATCTCTTCCACAGGGAAGGTCTAAAGGTGGAAGTCTGGATGGCGTCTGATTCAAATTTCTCCATTAAAATATTGGCTATCACTGGTGACAAGGGGGATCCCATGGGAGTACCCTCATTTTGTTTGTAGAAGGAGACATTCCAAGTAAAGTAGGTATTGTTGAGGCAGTGCCTAACCAGTGCAGGTGTATCGGGGTCTCGTCCATGTTGGACCAAATTCTCAATTATTTCAATGGTATCAGGTACTGGGACCTTGGTGAACAAAGAGACCACATCGAAGCTGACAAGGATATTGTCAGGGGACAGTACAACGTCTTTGACCATAGAGACCAATTGGGCTGAGTTAAGTACTGCTGAGGCGGTCTTGCCAGTGAAAGGCAGCAAGGTATCTGACAGAAAACGGGCTAGTCTAAAGGTAGGGGAGTTGATCGTGGATACGATGGGTCGTAGTGGGGTGCCTTCTTTATGAATCTTGGGAAGACCATAGAATCTAGGGGGTATTGCAGCAGAAGGTTTTAGGGAGGGACGTTTAGTTGGGTCGATTAGGGAGGTCGAACTTGTGATGATCTTGTTGGTTTTTATCGCTAGGCTATTAGTAGGGTCATTTTTGATTTTTGAGTAACTTCCATCGTTGAGCAGATTCTGGATTTTGTTGTTGTATGAATCTTTATCCATAATTACAGTAGCGTTGCCTTTATCGGCTGAGGGGATGACTATATCACTTCTGTTTTTTTTTTAATTCGCGAGTTCAGAGCGTTCATTTTTGCTGATGTTACTAATGGGTTTCTTAGCATTCTTAAGAATAGTGGCTATTTCAGCTCTCGCAACGTCTGCTTGGATGTGTCCTACGCCTTTGAGGGCTACATTGACCTGAGAGATGATATCATCTACTGGTATGTGTTTTGGAGTGACAGCAAAATTCAGCCCCTTAGCCAGTACTGTTTTCAGATTGTCCGAAATCGGGGTGCTACTCTGATTAATGACGATTTTGTTGACGTCTAGTTTTGTTATTTGTGGAGCTGGGTTCTTTTTGATAGGTGGTTGAATTTAGAAATCAGATTAGCTTTACATTTGACTGACAGTGAATCAGCCGAAGAAGCAGTCATGTTGTCTACGTGATTCCAATCAGAAGGTGACATTTTTTGTGTTAACATTAAATGAGCTTGTAGGAGAGACCTGTCTAAAGTATCGCGTTCAAATCGGAGTAGCCTTATCCTCTCTGAGATTAAAGATAGGCTGGCCTTAAACAGAATCTGTTTAGAATTCGGAGAAGATACAGCAGCAGAAGTGA